CAAGTGATCCAGCCTCTGTCACTCATTCCCAGCTTCTGGCAAACAGAGGCTAGGGGCACCATTCCTATCCATCCTGGCTAAAAGCCATTGATGGACCTATCCGCCATGAATTTATCTGATGCTTTTTTGAACCCTGTTATGGTCTTGGCCTTCACAACATCCTCTGGCAAGGATTTCCACAGGTTGACTGTGCGCTGTGTGAAGAAATACTTCCTTTTATTTATTTTTTAACCTGCGGCCTATTAATTTCATTTGGTGACCCCTAGTTCTTGTGTTATGAGAAGTAGTAAACAACACTTCCTTATCTACTTTCTCTACACCATTCCACAATGGCCTTGTCTTACTTGAATGTTTCTTTAGCATCTCAGTTGTTCAATGATTCAATCAATAACCCATTGATTGTTTTGGCAGGCTTCCTGCTTCTGAGGTACTAAAAGAATTGCTGTTAGTTTTTGTGGCTTTTGCTTGTTGATCTTCAAAAAAATTTTTTTTGCCTGCCTAATTGTATCTTTACACTTAACTTGCGAGAGTTTATGCTCCTTTCTATTTTCCTCAGTAGCAGTTGACATCCTATTCTGAAAGGATGCCTTTAACCATCTTGTTTGCTCTGCTGTTTAGCCATGGTGGCATTTATTTAGTCCTCTTACTGTTCTTTTAAATGGGGGTATATATATAGTTTGAGCCTCTATTATGGTGGGTTTTTTTAAGGTTTCTGTGCAGCTTGCTAGCTTTTCACTCTTGTGACTGTCCCATTTAACTACCTTCCTCATTTTTGTGTAGTTCCCCTTTTTGACATTAAATGCTACTGTGGTGGGTTTCTTTTGTATTCCACCCCCTCCCCCTCCTTCCAACAATGTTATATTTAATTACATTATGGTTGCTATTACCAAGTGGTTAATCTATATTCACCTCTTGGACCAGATCCTGTGCACTATTTAGGACTAAATCAAGAATTGCCTCTCTCCTTGTGGGTTCCAGGACAAACTGCTCCAAGAAGCAGTCTGTCTAGAAACTTTATCTCTGCATCCCTTCCTGAGATGCCATGTACCCAGTCAATAAGGGAATAGATTTTCTGTTTTTGTAGCCTCCCTGAGTATTTCATAATCACCATCCTGGTCAGGTGGTTGGTAATATACTCCTACTTCTATATTCTTATTACTCAATCATGGAATTTCTATCCAGGGAGATTTGACTCTATGCTTTCTTTCACATATGGTGCCACTCCCACACCAGCACAACCTTCCTCTATCATGCTCTAGATATTTTGTACCCTGCTATTGCTACGCCCCATTGATTATCATAGTTCCACCAGGCTTCTATAATGCTATTTAATACCAGGCACTCAGTAGTTAAGCTGTCTTATTGTTTGGACTTCTAGTGTTTACATACAGCCACTTATAAAATTTGTCAATATTTAGTCGTCTGCCTTCATGTGATATCGTTGAATGGAACTCTTTTTTTCATTTGACTGTTTCTCTTCAGTTCCTACCTGTACTTTATCCTCTCCTCCTTACTAGAATATAGAGAGACCCCTTTTAATAAGTCTTCCCCTCCGGGACGTCTCTGTCCTAACTATCTGTTCCTCCATGCCTGTCGGTTTTTGCCCAGCCCTTAGTTTAAAAACTCCTCTACAGCCTTTTTAACTTTACATACCAACAATCTGGTTTCATTATGGTTTAGGTGAAGCCCATCCTTCCTGTACAGTGGAGGCGAGAGGGATGGAGGGGTCTGTGCTTATTCAGTGAATCATCCAGCTGATATAGCAATGAACCCTTCCTGACTAGATATACACACCTGCCCCCCACTTTCAAGTTTCTTTTGCTTTTAGACAATAAATTGCTACAAAGCAAAACCTTAAAAGCCAAACTTAGCCATGGAGCCTGACTCTGTGCCCACTTATCTAAGGGTTATGGAAGGCAAGGTAAGTTCTAAAATACTTGGCCCAGTATTTATTCTTGCAATGGTTTCATTTTTCTGTTTAAAAAATATTTTGCAAAAAATATCACTTGATCAGTGAGAAATGGGAAACTATGTGTTTATAGCAAAGTTGCATTGATATAGTAACTATGTATCATTAAATGGTTTAACAGCAGCATGTAATTTCTCAGCATGTGATGACTAATTCAGTACTGCCCCACGGATATCATGTATGTATCATAGTTTAGGATCAGATTATCCCAGATTTTTGGTTTCTGAAGTAACACCAAGCAAATAGATGTGCTACTTTCAATGTATTGCTATTTCCTCCTCCTTTTCCATGTTTGCAATAAGCCAGAATAGTGGGTAAGTGATAACTACTGGAATTTTATACTAATTATGGTCCTGTCCCATGGGGATAGATTGATTCCCATTGACTTTAAAGGGTATTGGACCAGATCCTGTAACACCTAAAGGGTAAGCGATAAGTGTTACATAGTCAATAGGTTGCTTTCATTACAATCTTTTCTTGTTTAGGTTTTATGAAAAACCTCGGTTATCAACGAGATGTACATGGTCCAATGTGACATGAAAAGGTGCCTTGTTATTTTTAATAGGTAATTTAGTAATTATTTGCCTACTACAGATTTGGAGCATAATTGTTCAACATCCCTTCTTGGGTTTTTTACAGATGCAAATCAGTACATTTCTGAGAACCCAATAAGTTACAGGTGACAAAGATGCAACTGAGTGAACACAGAGATGGGCAAACTACAGCCCGCAAGACCGTCCTGCCTGGCCCCTGAGCTCCTGGCCCGGGAGCCTAGCCCTCAGCCCCTCTGCCACTGTCCCCTCTCCCCTGTAGCTACGCCACCACGTGGGCAGCGCTCTGGGCAGCGGGGCTGCACACTCATGCAGGGCAGCACGGTAGCGTGTCTGGCTCCAGCCGGGTGATGCGGCTGCCCAACATGCTGCTCTGAGTGGCATGGTAAGGGGGCTGGGGGTTGGATAAGGGGCAGGGGGTCCCGGGGGGCAGTCAGGGGACAGGGAGCAGTTGGATAGGGCAGAGGTTCTTGGGGGGCGGTTAGGGACAGAGGTGGGGACAAGGAGCTGGGGGGGTTCTGAGGAGGGCAGTCAGGGGGCGGGAATTCAAAGGGGTTGGATAGGGGGAGGGGGCCAGGCCATTTGGGGAGGCACAGCCTTCCCTATCCGGCCCTCCATACAGTTTCGCACCCTGATGTGGCCCTCGGGCCAAAAAGTTTGCCCACCCCTGAGTTAACATGACCAGAAGTTGATTGAAAAGCCTTGTACTTTTTCCCTTTGATGGTCTAAATGAAAGTTATGAGAGAATTCAGTTTTTGTTGCATTTAACTCTAGTAGCATTGATGACTGCAATTCTATTAATAAAAGGTTGCCCTTGAGGGTATGTCTACACTGGAGAAAAATAAAACCCACAGCAACGGGTTTCAGCACCTGTATCAACTGACCCGTCTTACAAATAGCTACATTTGGCTAATAGGGCTAAAAATAGCAGTGCAGATATTGCGGCTGGAGCCCCGGCTCCTCGGCCCACCCTCCTCACTGGGTTTCAAGAACCTGGGCCCCAGCCTCAGCAGGAACAGCCACGCTGCTATTTTAAGCCCTGAGTCTCGGCTCTGAGACTTTTGCAGTGTTGCTGTACCCTTAGAAAGGAAGTATGTGCTTTTCTAGGTCAGAAAAGAGATGGTGTGAGCTCATGTGAGATTTATTCTCAGCGTATGGCATCTTATGCAAATAAGGGATGGATTCCTAATTCCTTTCAAGGTGTTTTTAATATGTACTGTTTGGTTTTAAATAGCAGCAGCAATGTTAAAAGTGAAGTAACAGCAGAAGGTATTCTCTTGTGAATGTAGACATGCCAGACATTAGATCTAGTGGAATATCAAGTACTGGATCTGTTCAGAGCCTTGTTACACTATCATAGAATATCAAGGTTGGAAAGGACCTCAGGAGATCATCTAGTCCAACCCCCTGCTCAGAGCAGGAGCAATCCCCAATTTTTACCCCAGATCCCTAAATGGCCCCCTCAAGGATTGAACTCACAACCCTGGGTTTAGCAGGCCAATGCTCAAACCACTGAGCTATGTTGATCATCATAATTAAAGAACAAGTAATTGATTGGTATGGGTCTGGAGAACGTTTTCAAGTGTTGCCCAGGCCTTCTTGACCTCCCTCAGATTCCCTGCTCCTGTTAGGGTCAATATACTTTCTATCATGATTCACTCCTCTCATCTATAGTACATAATAAACTGGTATGAGTCTGGGTTTCCACTGTATGGAATGTAATACCTGTGCAAGTGTTTGTTTGTGAAACTGTCACCTTCTTTTGGTTGAATACTTATTGCCACACATAGTTGAATGCACTTGAGTTTTGGAATCTGTAACCTTCTGGTACCTGCGTTCTACAGAAGCATGAATTTTTCATGACTTGCCATTAATGACCACATAAGAAAAATATAAAATTAGTGCATCCCCTTTTGAAATGATATCAAAAGTCTCAGCCTAATGCCAGATAGTAAGAACCAGGGAAGAAGGGAATGATATAAACAGAACCTCTTCTATGCTGTAGCTCTCAGTAGACTTTTTCCCTATGGATGTGCCACTGATTCAATTTTCTATGTAAATTACATGCTCCTTGATCTGCTCAGTACAATATTCTTCCTGTGTAGCCCACACAGAAACCTTACAACTGCCAGAATGTGGCTGTTTATGTATTCAGTTGATAGCTTTTTCTCCTGTTAACATGTAGAACACACAAAAGATTAACTTCACCATAGTTACAAAGTGCCCCAGCCCAAGACATATGTGCCACTTCAGCTTCCTTTGAGGGACTTATAAGAAACATATGGTGATATTTACTCCCATGCAGAAGGCCAGCACAAAGTTCATGCATCACTTAAGTGGTTTGCTAGGCAGAGTATGACTATACAGAGATCAGGAAATTTCCACTGAACTTCTTCAATCATCCTGAAAAACTTTATTTCAGTTATTTGGGGTTTGTAAATGTATTGATCAACAAAATACAAGGAAGAAACAGATCAAAGAACTTTTGATCTAAAATATTTATTTGTACTGGACCAAAAAGGTGTCGCATTACTTGTATAACAAACAATATTTAATGGATGTATCATCTCTTTCTAATGCAAGCTGTCCTTTGTTTCTTATTCAAAATAATGTAGCAAAAGGAAACTAACTCAGGGCTTTGGTTTACTTTTTTTTTTTTTCAATACAAAGTAAAAAGTGGAGCAGTCACAAGTGATCTGAGATTAAACCCCACAGCTATAGTTAACATAAATTTCAAGAATCCTTTTAAAAAAAAACTTTTACACAATATTGTTAAATCCCATATAAAATAATTTACTATTTTAAATATTGTTTAAATATTTTATCTATCTTTAAAACTATTAACTTTTTAATTTATGGTTGGAATTGATTTTTGGCATAATGACAATTTATTTTTTAAATATTAAAAAGCTTCATATTCAATATAAAAACAGACAAAGTAATGTCTATTGTCCAATAATATTGTACATGATACCAACGCTCTAGAGTGAGCTTTTTAGTGTGTTTGCCAGACAAGTCACTTGAGAGAACTCACTCACCACAGTGTAAGATCATAACAGATCACTATCAACATGTATCTTCTATATATTATGTACACATAGAGTATATAGTATTTAATTCCCAACTTGATGCATAGGGTTTTAAGTGTACTTCCCCCAGCATTTAGATCAGATTATCTTTTAGCACATATACATATAATACCTACAGTTTGGAAAGAAAATTTTACCTATTTTGCTCAGGCCAGCGGTCTGAAAATTTACAACTTTAAGCAGTATCTTCACGTAACAAAATAAAAATTCACTGTTGTAATTGCTGGCAACTGTCATCTTGCTATTTGTCTAACAGGCTGTCTCCACTCTAAGAAAATTAGGACTCATAATTTATCATTGGTGCATTTCTGTGTTGGCAGTGATGGAGGCTGTAGTGTAGACATGAGGCTGGTGTCTTACCACCAAGTTGTCAAGCCCAATGCTTAATAGTGTGAAATATCAGTGGTAAAACACCTGAGATTTAGATATACTATGGCCTCCACCGTTGCTACCTCTGGCAGAGCTGCCCCATAGAAAACTATAGGTCCCACTTTTCCAAGTGTAGACACAGAATGGTAACATAGGAGCTCAATGTCAGATTGTAATCCACTTTCCATTGGGCTACACAACTACTTCAACAATGAACTTTAGAGTGTAAAAACGAAACATTTTGTTTAACACTAAATTCCATTTGATGGGGAGCAGTGTAGTCTGACAAAACATTTCTACCACCATCGTACATTGTACCAGAAATTATATCCATATCCAGCCAGATGGTCACAATAACAATGATTTCTAAGCCAACATTTTTAGAAATCTTTTTTCGAGGGAGTGGATAGCTCAAAGTATTGGTAGAGATCTTTGAGAACTACAAGCAGGTGAGCAAATCTCAAGAATATATTCCATTTATATTCACTCAACTAAACAATTGAATTTGATTCATCCTGTACTTGCACTCACTTTCTGTGAATATGCTAACAGGTGAATTGGCTAGCAGGAATTTTTGCTGACTCAGCACATTTTAAGCGATTGTTTAATAAATCTCTCTAAAGACGTTTTCAACTTGAACACAAGTATTTGCACAAGAAAGCCATTTGGCAGAGCATAACTCCTAGAATCAGGGAATCATACCATGTGACTCCACTGAAACTCAGGTTTCAGAGTAGCAGCTGTGTTAGTCTGTATCCGCAAAAAGAAAAGGAGTACTTGTGGCACCCTAGAGACTAATAAATAGTGAACTGCTGATGAGCAATCTACAAACCAAGAATTATTCAGTGAATAATTTTGAATAAATACATCTAAGAAACTGATTTCCTCATGGACAAATCAAAACCAAAGAGACTAAATTAACTAATCAGTGTAAATTATTTGCTCAGCTCTAGATACTATAGGTGGGATTCTGTGCTGCACTTCAAGAGGCACAGCACCAGGGGAGGGGAGCTAACACAGCTTTAAGCCTCCCCTGGCGCCTCCTGATCCTGGGCTGCACAAACCCTGGTGCAACATGCCCAGGCCTGTCTAGATTACAGCAACCTCCCTGGCCTGCCCTATGGGAAGCAGCAGTGCCAGGAATCTCCACAGTGCTGTGTATTGTGGCTCAACATCCCTCCCACTGCCAGCATGCCCCCTATGCCAGAAGAATACTCCCCCAGCTATATAGAGGACTTTTTAGGGACCCCCTTTCACCACTCTAGGCTTTTTATTTGGCAGTAAGGGACCAAAGTGGGGATGAAGCTCTCACCCAAAGCCTTTCAACTGTTTGTAATTCAAAACCAGCTAAAATCAGTAATAACCAAAAGAGGCTCCTATCCCATTGCTCTTACAGCTGTCTGAGAAGTTAGTTGGATTCTCAACCTAATATCCACTTCAATAAAAACCTCCCACAACTGGCATCAATTTGCAGCCTTCTTGGCAATCTCAGAACTGAACTAGCTTCTGCTGTTCCCTAAAAAGAGCCCCGTCCTCTGAGATCATAGTTCAGGCACATTGACAGGACAGAGTAGGGATACTTTTCAGCACCTGCTTTGTAGACACATGACTTCAGTCTCCAGCACTGTCCGCTCAGCACCTTCCTTGAGCACCACATTCACTTGAAAAGTTTAACATTCCATGGGGAGAATTTTAAAGGTACAAATGGTTAATGTTAAGCACCTAATTATTTATTTGTGCACTTAAAACTTTGCCCACAGAATGATTTTCTAAAAAGGAATTCCTATTTAAAGTTTCCTGGTGAATATTTACAGCTTATGCACAGCAAGAAGAGTTTTCAGCATTAAACAATGCACTGAGCAAAAAAGCTAACCAGTTTTCTTTCCATAATACAGATTGGTAAGTCAAAGAAAGATGATGCTATATCTAAAAGACTGTGCATGCATCAGACAAAACATTAATTTTGAACACTTAAATTTTGAACACTAAAGCTCACTTTGCTTTAGATTTGTCATTTATTTTTGAGTTTGTATAGAGAGAGTTATTTTTGCCACATTGGAAAGCAATCAGTAAAAAGACACGAGTCTCTCTTTAACAAATGAAGATGTAGAGATCTTGAATCCTGCATTTTCCTTTTAAAAAAAGACAGACATCAATATAGCAAAATAGGTTCAACAAAACTTGGCAGTTCAAAGAATGTCTTTGCTGGAGAAGGCAGTGGGTATAAGCCCCAAAATTAAATTTCTTGACAAATCATTTCAAGTGTGTTTTAAAAATTCAGCCCCCACTTTTAGTGCTGTTAAAATTAGGATCTATGCTTCAGAGCTGGCTCCTATTAAAGTTGGTAGTATCCATTTTGGCAGCCTCAGTTTTTAGGAGCCCAACTTGACACACTTTTCTGGGGCCTGATTTTCAGTACAGTAACTCCTCGCTTAACGTTGTAGTTATCTTCCTGAAAAATGCTACTTTAAGCGAAACTATGTTAAGCGAATCCAATTTCCCCATAAGAATTAATGTAAACAGGGTGGGAGGGGTTAGGTTGCAGGGAAATTTTTTTCGCCAGACAAAAGACATTATATACATATACAGTATAAGTTTTAAATAATTTTAAACAAACTAATACTGTATTCACCAAAGATACTGTGAAGCTTGGTTGAGGTGGGGCGTAGTAGGGATAAGGCACAAGGGTTTGCCCCACTCCGTCTGTCTGGCGCTCCTGCCTGGGAGTGGGGTTGGGGGCTTGCCCGCTCCCCACCTAGAATACCAGGCAGGTGGAGTGGGATAAGCCCCCATGCCCCAACCCTGCTCCCCAGCAGGAGCACCGGGTGGGCGGATTGGGGCAAGCCCCAACGCCCTGACCCCGCTCCCCAGCAGGAGCGCCGGGCAGGCAGGTGGAGCGGGGCGAGCCCCAACGCCCTGACCCCGCTCCCCAGCAGGAGCGCCGGGCAGGCAGGTGGAGCGGGGCGAGCCCCAACGCCCTGACCCCGCTCCCCAGCAGGAGCGCCGGGCAGGCAGGTGGAGCGGGGCGAGCCCCAACGCCCTGACCCCGCTCCCCAGCAGGAGTGCCGGGCAGGCAGGTGGAGCGGGGCGAGCCCCAACGCCCTGACCCCGCTCCCCAACAGGAGCGCCGGGCAGGCAGGTGGAGCGGGGCGAGCCCCAACGCCCTGACCCCGCTCCCCAGCAGGAGCGCCGGGCAGGCAGGTGGAGCGGGACGAGCCAAACAACTTTATAACGGAACGTTGCGCAACTTTAAATGAGTATTTTCTCTAATAGATCAGCAACCTAATAACGAAACAATGTTAATTGGGACGACTTTAAGTGAGGAGTTACTGTATTGCTGAGTACCTACCCTCTGAAAATCAGGAGGGTCAGCTTGGGCCCCCTCCTACCCCCATTCACTAGTTGCTTCTGACAACATAAGCCGGTGGGAGTGTTCCCCCATTATAGCGCTTGTGTCATTTATTGGCTAAGGGCCTGATCCAAAGCTCATTGCAGTGAATGGAAATCTTTCCATTAATGCCAGTGGCCTTCGATTGGTCCATCAGATACTTTAGCAATAGCTCACAAACTGTGGACTCAACCCTACAAACTGAATGTCCTATTTACACACTTCAGTGGGAGTTAAGGTCCCTCAGCATCTCACAGGTTGGAGTGAGCCCTATAGACATTTTACTGTTTTTAAATGTGTCACTGAGTAAGAGTATATTCATGATATGGCATGTTTTTTTTTAAAAAAAGACCATGTACTCATCTATATGCTACATAGCATACCTTGAAGGATCACAGACACTTTGCAGAATTAAGCAAAATCTTTAGACACAGCCTCTACAAAGTTTGGTGCCGACATTAAAATGCCGATTGTACAAATGATTGTGAAGACAGAAAAGGCCATCAAGCAGAGACGGTCTACCACGGAGGCTGCAAACTTCCATTCATTGCAAATGGCTTCCTCCTCATCCTGGTCCCTGAATCGGTTTGCAATATATCGAACTTCCTCCAAGATCTTAGCCAAATCTGGGTCACCTTCAGAGGGGTGTCCACTGTGCAGGAGAGTCTCTTCTTCTGTTGGTGAACAGGTCATCCTCCCACAAATTACCCCAGAATCAGTGGTCGGAGCGCAATGGACCCCTTCCAGCCCCCGGAACCCAATATAGAGCATATTCCCATTACTGGCTTGTTGTCCACTCACAGTGTTCATATCTACACTTGACAAGCTACATCGACGCTGCTTATGCTGACAGGCAGGGCGTACTTTATCCTCCCCTGGTCTCTTCATCCTCAGGAACCAGGCACACCAGTTCAGAAGGATGATTCTTGTCTGGAAGAAAATTGAGAAGTAAAACATCTTTGTAAACAGAAACTGATCATCATCAATAGCTATTTGTATTTCAGAGCTCTAGAACTCTCTGCTCCCCACAGGTGCGGTGGACACTGCCACGTGCCCTGGCTTGAAGTGGTTTCCATTCTATACAGGGTTTATTACAATTTGGCTAAATAGCTCTCAGGACCTCCACTAGAAAACCTGTTCCAGCGCTCCTGTGCTCCCTGGTCTCTATTTGCTGATCTTGCCCTGTAGCCTAGTGGTGATGTCGTAATTGTCCTACAGTCACTCTCAGCCATTGAGGCCATTGTCCCACTCCCAGCAGGCTGCTACTGGCCATATGCAACTGTCAAATTATGATTGCTGTGGGCTGGTCTGACAGGTTGATTTTTTTTTATCACATTCATGTCAGAGCAGTGACATGACAAACTTTGCTGTTTTTAAATTGAAACTATGGACTTTCCTTTGATTAGAAAACAATTATTTTCAATGAGACTCGAAATAGTTTTGCTTTATACTTGAGGTAATAAATAAAATAAGTGTTACAAACAGAAATAAGAGTGAAAGAATTGCAGTCTAATACTTCAGTGCTTTTTGGAGGCAGTTGCTAAAAATATGCCATACTAATTGGATTGAATTGCTATATTTTACAGTGTTTTTACTATACTCGCACTCAATCCTTTTATGACAGCTGATTGCAAACTGTATAAAACAGACCTGCATATACCACAGGGTGCAGATGGAACAGAAAAGTCCTTGGTAAAAACGATTAGTTTCGTTCCAGTGGCAAATCAAATCACTAGGTTTCATTTTATTGGGTTTTGCACTGCTGTTCAAAGAATGCTCCAGTTCAAATTCAGGCTTCCAAAATTCAGCTCTATCAGGATTTCAAAAAGTAATTCCAGTGTTTCTTTTTCCTAGTCATAATGTCATTTCATTATCTCAAACCACATGTCACTCTTGCAATGTAATTTATATTGGATTTAGTCCATTTGTTATGATTTTAGAATGCCACTTAGAGTAGATAGATATACTCCTGATGCCGTTTTGAGGGTAAATGTTTTTGCTAAAGACAGATTTCACATGCTCTTGTCTTCATATTTTTCCCCCACCCCCGCACTAATGTAATTCAGCTAAAAAAATAGACCACCTTTATTAATCCAAGGCCTGATCCAAAAGCCTGTTGACTCCTACTGAGTTTAAATGGGCTTTTGATCAGGTCTTCAGTGCTAAGTCTTGCTTATTTTACATGAGTATTCCAACTGATTCCAGCAGGAATATTTATGCAAATACAGTCATCAATATTTGGTTTTCTATCTCACACTGCATAGGTCTATACATAATCAGTTCTATTACTGCATTGGTTGCTACTTAATCAGTTCTCTTTCAATTTTAATTTCCAATGCCACCACCTAACTGCCTATAATGTAAGCTCTTTGGGGCAGGGAATATCTAATGTTTGTAAGGCACTGGGGCATGGGATTGTAGGTATGGGACTGTATGAAGTAGTGATCACTCGTTCCTGCCTAAAATCTAAGGAGAGTACTTTCCACCTTCACTATTGACCTGATGCTGCAGGATGCAAGGTAAAATATATGGGAATTGAGAATGCACCTTACCCTTTGCAATATCAAGCTATGCAGGATTCATAGGGTATGTCCACACAGCAATTAAACACCCACAGCTGACCCGAGTCAGCTGACTGGGGCTTGTAAAATTGGGGTGTAGACATTCTGGCTTGAGCTAGACCCCAGGCTCTGGGGTTTAGACATACCCTTAGCATTATCTCATCAATATTCAGTTACTATGCAAGATTCTAGTTCTCAGCCATGCTATGATAGTGCTTTACATAAAAACAATAATTCATGGTACTAGCTCATGAAGATGGCATTATACTTCAGCGACAGTGGAATATGACAGACAGAGATACTAACTTTTCATTTGTAGTTGACATAGTCCCTGGCTTGATGGTAAAGTCAGTATATAACTCACAGAAAGCTCAAAAATTCTCACGCCCACCTTAACATACCTCTCTAACATATAGTCATAGCTGCAGCTGTTCACAAGTAAACAACACTTAAATCTATAGCAGCGGCTGTAATGAAATTAATGTGTTCTTATTGGACAGAGTACTTCATGTTCTAGGTGGTTTTAGTTGTATTGCAGGAAATTTTTAAGATAGAAACAAGATGACGGTCTTAGTTCTTGCAAGTGTTTCCCTCTTTCTGAAAAATGAGAGGCCCACAAAAGGAAACGTATGCGGACATTTTTGCTCAGCTGTTAAGCTTCGGTGGGGGAGGGTATCAAGAAGTAATGATAGGTCACCTGCCACTATGACACATCTCTAATCTGAAAATTTATATAGTGAATAAGTAGATATAAATGAACTGGAATCAGACCTTACCCACTTCGGCATTTTCCCCCCATCTGGGTCATGATGGTGATATTGCAGAACAATAACAGTGACAACAACAGAAAGGCCAACAATAATCATGGTGCTGGCAAAATACTGAGCTGCAAAAATAAACACATAATCAAGATATGTAAAATTATAGTGATATACAGGTGCTTCATACACCTACATAAACAGGTACTAATCTAAAGGAACACAGTTAAAATGGAAAACAAACCTGATTCTACACAAGCTACTTTTTAATGCATTTGGGAGAGATTTTTCAAAAGCAGAAAGAGTAGTCAGGCTCCAGTCTCTCACTGATTTTTCAATGGGAGTTGGCAACTGTTATGTTCATAGTATATACATAGGGAAAATAGATAAAAGAATTAAATATTCTTCCTGTAAAGTTGCGGCATAACACTGCTTTATTCCTTAGCATCCAGAACCTTAACACCCATGAACCAAACCTAGAGAGTGACAAAACATCCCTAAAGCAAGGCAGAGCTTAGTCCACTGAAAGCATAAGAGACATATCAGACTCCTCCTTAGAGAGCCCTATACCCTGCAAGCAAGACCAGGAAACCCCTTACATATTTAAAGTGATAATGTGTAATTTTAACACTGTTTTTAATAAAACACAAGCACCAGACTCTTTTTAGTGCCTTTGAAAATCTCCCCTTTCGTTATTGTTATCATCATTATTAGTTAGTTGGTTAATATCAGAGAGAGTGGTTGGGGTTTTCTGCTTGTATATCAATTGCCATGTGGAGGAATTGTAATGAAAAATTTCCTCTCCCCCTTCCAGAGCATATTTCAATCTGCTGTTTTATAGAGCCCTCGCTTACTGTGTTCCAAGACACAACAACTGCATACTCCAAAGAAAATTCTTTGGCATTATCCCCAGTGACGTCCCATTTGTTTTCTTTATTTTGATCCAGATCTTCCAGCAGACCAGAGGACTCAAAAAATATGTAAGAAACCAGAGAAACCCCCCCACAAGAGGACCCTGCTTATGACAAACTTCACTGGATGCCAATGTAGTAAGAGAGGGAACTACTATGAGTGGATAGGAGGCCTGCAGTGATCAAACCCTTCAGCGAGCCCGTGAGCACCCTGCCCACTCTGCAGTGTCTCCTACCCCCAAGTGAGTGTTTTCTCACCCAAATGTCCCTATGTTACCACCACTGCGCCTTTGTGCTCCCCCAGCACATGTTCCATAACCATTCTCATTGTCCCCCTAGTGTGCTCCCTATCTTCCTCCCAATATACGTTCCCCCAGAAGGAGTGGTAAGCAGCCTCGATTCCCACTGAAATCATTGCTCTGCACCATGCAGGATCAGTCCTAAACATCTCTGATTCAACTGCACACAAATCATACACTTTCTAAATGTGCCTTATTTTTGGTCTTCAAGTGATTTAATTACAACTTGTCTGATTTAAAAAAAAAGAGAGAAAGAAAGAGAGAGAGAATAGATTGAAGTTACCTATTAATGGCACAGAATCTGATGTTGCTGGCATAATTTCTGCCACAAGTAGCATAAAGACAGTAAGAGACAATAAAACTGTTATACCTGAAAGATAAACATGAAGTACAGAATTAGGACAGCAGCTTGTCAGGTAATTGCTATCCACTAAAGAACAGATTTGAAGAAGTGCTGTGTGAAATTTATTCTCACAATCATACCCTTACACTGATTGTACTCAATCCTGTTCTCTTTTGATACTACTTTAAAAACTCCCATTTTAGAGGGTAGAAATCTTGCCAAACTAGTTTAATTTTTTCTAAATCTGTGTTTTTGATATATCTAATACAAAAGCCTTCGTGATTAGGTCCCAGTTTTTGTGCACTTGTACAAATGTAGAAGCTGGACCTAATAATTTCTTTTTGGCCTTGTTAAACCTTGCTAGACTAATCTTCACTTCGCATCACTGTCCAAGGGATTTGATAAAATATGACAAATTAAAGTACTTCTTGTTTTATGTTCCATCACCCCTTTTGAAAAGTTCACAAGAGAGTCTTTTGTTTTGAGCTTTCAATAACTTGATACAGTATGTGATGTGCTGATCAATAGGTTTGGAAGACATGAAGCTAAAAAGTACAGTAGTTAATCCCAGAAAACAGAAATTGTCCTGGGAGAGAGACCAATGTTCTCTCTGAAATTAGCAGTTGATCTCTGAGAGTTGCTTGCTCTAAGCAGTTCTGATACTGATTTCTGGATTTTGATTTTTGTTGCTCACTGATTTGCCCCTCTGAATATGACTCAGCTGTTGTCCTGATAGGATCTCAGGATTAGGTTTGCACAAAGGGAACCACTGTCAGCTGGAAAGGGACTGAAGGACAGGATAGCGCATCCTAAAAATTCAGAGGGTAGTCAGAAATCAAGGGCTAGGGAAGCTGGTTCTGAAATCCAAGAGAAACATACACTAAACATTAAAACGGCACTTGTGCAGAGATGCCCAGTTTACATTCTGTCTTTTGAACAACCATTTTCATTAAATAGAAATTAATACATTTGTTATGTCCAAATTGGTGGTGTAAAATTTCATAAAATATTTAGCAGCTACCTTAACTATCGTGTATCAAAAAGATTCCAGTTTATCCACTCCTCACAATCCAACATTTAGCCATACATTTACAAAAAGAAGATGGCCTCACCACTAAAATATTTAAATGGAAGGAGCCCAACTTTTTCAAAAGGATGCAAAGGGTGACTCCTGGCTCTTAATGTATCACTTACTAGTAAGAGGAATATAGACTGAAAATAATGCCAGACTAAAATGCCAAAATACATGTTCTTTCCAACATAACCTTTATTCAGTGAAATTATTTTTCCCTCCAGCACATAAGTGTCAAACAGTAGCTCTATTTGTAATACAGGATTATACAGTTAAACATTGTAATGCTACTTGTATGTTTTTGTTGTTTATGTAACTCCTAGCTCCACCCTAACTAGTAGTATGACCTATTCTTTCATATCTTTGCTGATACCACCGTAAGAGATGCTTTAAAAACACCTACATACTTTTTATTAGATAGAAATGCAGCAAGACAGACAAACTTTTTCCCTGAGCATGCTGAGGCTATCTAGCTACATTGAAATCAGAAGACTCTTATAGAGCCAACTTTTAAAATACTTGATAATGTGTTTACCTAGTGAGATCTTCTCTCCTGAGTCAGCCGGAAGCAGAAAAACTAATAGGGCAAGTGCAGATATCAGCACGCAAGGAATGAGAAGATTGAGTCCATAATACAGAGTCCTACGTCTCATAGTCACTGTGAATGTCACATCTGGGTAAGGTTCTTTACAACATTCATAAAAACTCTCACTCCTCTTCCCAGGAACTCCTGCACAGGAAAAAAAACAGGGAGAAAAGCAGAAACTAATCTGCATATAACCTATGTTAATGTAGAAGCTACATTTAGACAAAAGCCTCCAAGTATCTTCTGTGAAGTCCCACAGCAAGTAAAATGTTCCTCTTCAATTCCAATTCTCCTCTCTGTTACATGACCAAAATTAGGTAATAAAGAATCTGAGTCAAAAAGGTTTTCAATGAACTTGCAATGATCAGAGTTCTCTCAGTGCCTCCACCGTCTTCATATGTTCTTCACCTTTTATCTTTTTTTCCACCACATTTAAAATGCCACTGTCTCAGACCTTCATAGCGTGTACCAATCCACTGCTTGGTAACCCTAACGTAGCTTTTTCTTTTTTTAATATATCTACAAAGAATGCTGGTTCATGTGTCTGCCAAGGATCTGTTAGTAAATGGACTGATGGATCAGCATGCATTTTTGTACTGGTACTTGCTACCTGAGCTGTGTACATTTTTACGATCTGAAAAAAAAAGACAAGGGGCCTGATCATCATTTACACAAAGGTCCTTTTATACTGATCTACCTTTCCATCCACTTTAAAGCCCCTTTACATTCCCAAAGTACAGAGTGTAAATGAAAATCAGGTCCAAGGGCTTACCTACTAGATCCCACTCTCCATTTGAAATGTATCCAGATATATCTGCTTCTTGCATTTGTAAGTCCAAGGACCATCCACCATAGGTCCAGGATCCAAACTTCAGATTACACTTCTGAACATCAAATGGAAACCAGCGCACATCTATGTAGCATGAGCTCTTGAATATGCCTAGAGTTTAAATAGAACCAAAAAAAAAAAATCTATAGAAATGCTTGTTTCACATACTATTTCATCTGTTTTTGTAAATGATCCCTGTTACACACTGCAGCTGTCCAGCACTTACTCTGAGGGTAGTCTACACAGTAAAGAAATCCTGCAGTTGGCCTGTGCCAGCTGACTTGGGTTCACAGGGCTGCAGCCCAAGCCCAGAAGCGTACACAGCAATGAAACAGCCCCGTAGTCCGAGCCACGTAAGCCTGAATCAGCTGCCATGGTCCAGCAGCAGGTTTTTCTTTGCTGTGTAGTAAAAGTACACTTAATATACCTCAAGAAGTGAAAAGGAAGACAATTCAAACTTACTATAGTAATAGATTTGCAGAATCTATATATTGACTATATACCTCCTTTCACTGAATTGCATAGGTCACTTCTCTAATTCTCTTTTCCTGGTGTTACTATTCTCTTCATGATGTGGCTGGGATGGGATTTCTGTTACTAAATATAATGAGAGGCCCTGCAAGATGATTTACTGTCTTTTAAGATTTACATAACATTGGCTCATTCCTTTCAAGAAGGCTAACCTCTATTTGTTGCGTTTATTGTATAAAACGATGGACAAAGTTAAACATGACAGATCAAGGACCCATCACTCAGCACCTTGAAAGATCAAGTCCATAAACACCAATTGGAGCTTCCTGTGAGCGGAAGGGTAGGAGACTCCATGGACCATACCTAGGACCGCAGTAGATTTAATTTACCTGGGAAGCACTTGGATACTACAGGGATGGGCACTCTATAAGACCCTAAGTTAGACAGAAGAAACCTGATTCTAATAATTATATTCTAGGGAACAGAAATAGCTCCAGGTGTCCAATCAAACACGGATCACTATGTTTCAAAATTTCAAATATGAAATAAAAGCATTCTCAGGAATGAGCTACAGACCAAAAGCTGTTCTGAGAAAGTGTTTGGTGCATCATTTCAAATAGCAAATCCATCCAAGAAATTAGTAAACTATTTACTATAAGAATGAATTCATGAACAGAAGCGCCAAATTCATGGAATAAATTAATCATGTTTAATTATTCCCTCAGCCTCAGGAAACAATATTTTTGTATGTCAAAGGGTCATGTGATTTTTATTTCTATTCATACTTCCATACTTCTGAAACCATAAATTGATACAGTAACTCCTCGCTTAACGTTGTAGATATGTTCCTGAAAAATGCTACTTTAAGCAAAACGATGTTAAGTGAATCCAATTTCCCCACAAGAATAAATGTAAATAGGGGGGATTAGGTTCCAGGGAAAACATTTTTGCCAGACAAAAGACCACACACACACACACACAGTATAAGTTTTAAACAAACAATTGTTTGTACACAGCAATGAAGAGTGTGAAGTTTGGTTGAGGTGGCTAAGTCAGAGGACGAAAGAGGGTGGGATACCCAGGGAATGCCTTACTATTAAATGATGAACTAGCACTTGGCTAAGCTCTCCAAGGTTAACATATTGTTGTTAATGTACCTCACACTCTACAAGGCAGCACGAATGGAAAGAGAGGAAGACAGCATGGCAGAGAGAGACAGACACACATGTGTGAGAGAGAGAGAGAGGCACGCATTGCCCCTTTAAGTTTGCTGACCCTACTCTGAGTACATTGCCTTTTTAAGTAGATCACCAAGTTGAGACAGCAGCTGCTGCCAGCAAGCTCCCTCCGTCCTAAACCCTGTCGTCATCCCCCTGCTCTGTGGAGATAAGGTGCAGGAGCAGGGGGAGGGGGATATCCTGACATTAGCACCCTTCTTCCCCCCACCTCTGCACAGCAAGCAGAAAGCTCCTGGGAGCAGCTCCAAGGCAGAGGGCAGGAGCAGCACCCGGCAGTGGGGGGAGGGACAGCTGAACTGCCAGCAATTGGTAGCTTGCTGGGCGGCTGCTGCACAGGGAACTTAGGGGAGCGGGGAGTTGCTAGGGGGCTGCTGGTCCACCCTGGTTGCAAGCCCCCACCAGCTAGCTCCAATGGGCTAAGGTAAAGCAGGCGGCTGCTAAACAACGTTGTAAGGGAGCATTGCGCAAGTTTAAACGAGCATGTTCCCTAATTGATCAGCAACGTAACAATGTTAACCAAGACGATTTTGAGTGAAGCATTACTGTAATAGGAAATGGGGCTAAACCAGTGATATGACAGAGGATTTATATCATTGCAATTGATACTTTTTTTTTGTATGGTGGTATCCATGCAAGATTGTGTTCTTAAATACAAATACATACATAATTACAGGTACATATGTGTAATTTATATAGTTTTAAATCTAGCAAACAGGTACTATCTAGATTTATATGGCGTATGAAAGAGTTTATATCCAAACTATGAGATGACTTCATATATGAGTAGGCAAGAGCTATTACATGAAAACAATCTACTACTTACCTGGGGGCAGGTATTGGCAGTGTCCTGAAGAATTGACCAAAACATTGGTATGAAATGTCGCATCAAATCGCTCATCAGCACTAGAATGGGAGGGAAGAAGACCTGAATTACACTCTTTGATGGAATCAATGAGGTCTTAAAGAATTGCAGTATTCTTACAAAATGTGGATTTCCCCTACCCTCCCAAACCAAAAACCTCTTGATTGTATTCTCCTCTAACTCCCACTTTGTCCCAATGTCATGTACCTGACTTCAGTGAAGTTACTCCCAATAAACACAGCTGCAAATCAGCAGTTAATCGTCTCATTTGCTCACTCGCTGATCAACTGGTGTAAGTCTAGATTAATTACCATGGCATCGTGTGATTTATTTCCCAAATTGAAACCAGCCCTTCCCCAAAATCCTAGCGGAACTGTACAAGGAGATCTGGTCTCCTCTTGTTGCCAGCAGCATATAACTTTCATTAGCATTAAGAGGAGTTAATGAACATTGAGAGGATTTATGACCAATTTCTCCCCCTTGCCTGCCCCCAATACAATTACAGATTACTTTTCGTCAGTGAAAAGACTATTTAGTATATCTTAAAGTCTAGTCAATCCCCACTGACATCAACAGGCGTCTTCCATTCACTCTGTGGTCACCAGATCAAACTCTGAGTATTTAACTCAGAATCGACAAACCAGGAGGCTGGTAAACTAAAATCAGACCTTATTATTGTTTCATCTTTTAATCTAATAGTGCTGTGAAATAATTACTGTTAGTGCTGTTTGTAATGCCTTAGATCAGAGGCCATCAACCGGTCAATCGTGCTCAAGTGGTCCATCCTGGAGCCTCTGACAGTCGACCTCCAGCCGCTAAAAGTCTGGTGTGCAGCGGGGCTAAGGCAGGCTCCCTGCCTGCCTTGGCCATGCACAACTCCCGAAAGCAGCCAACCCACCCCTGAGGCCCCGGGGGAGTGGGGAGGCAGTGGTTTCCCTCTGCATGCTGCTCCTGCCTGGAATAGGGAACTGTGGCCAATGGGAGCTGGGGGGGTAGGGGCAGTGCCTGCAGAGAGGGGCAGCATGCAGTGCCACGGGCTGCAGGGGGTGTGATGGCCGCTCCCAGGTACATTGTAGGGCCAGGGCAGGCAGGGAGCCTGCCTTAGCCCTGCTGCGCCCCTGACCAGGAGCTGCCCGATGAGGAAACTGCCTCCCAGGAGGAGCCCGCACCCCAACCTCCAGGCCTGAGCCCCCTCCCAGAGCCAGCACCCCATACCCCCTCCTGTACCCCAACCCCCTCCCATACTCCAAACCCCTCAACCCCTGTCCCCAGCCCAGTGAAAGTGAGTGAGGGCGGGGGGGGGTCAGGGAAGGGGCAGAGTAGATCCTAGGTTGCACTTAAATTCAAAAAGTGATCTTGTGCATAAAAAGGTGGGAGTCCACTGCCTTATATTATCAGTATAGATGCAACTATTATTAAGACTAGGAATGAATTAGCTTCTTTCATTTGTTTTAAAATGTTGCTTAATTGCATATTTGTGTGTGTACAAAAAAAAATCAATTATTGCCAAGTGATATCTCAAATACATTTGGCCTGGTATGAGGAAGTTCTATAGCTTGTATATACAGGAGGTCGATCTAGATGGTCACAGTGTTCCCTTTTGGCCTTGGACTCTGTCATTAATGATTTTCTTAGGTGATACACATGCTAGAAGCTGCTATATGTAACATATATTAAAATGAACCAAAACCAAACCAACCCAAAAAACTCACTTTCTGTTCCTGAGACAAAAGTTTAATGGATTAACTGCCTTAATTCTATTTGTTATCAACAGAGATTTTTAAACTTGTCATAACAGCAAATAGCTACGTATTGTTTACTGTTTGGGCTGGTTTCGGGCCTCCTCCTTTTTTCAGCATCTTAAATGAATTTGGGGTGATTGGACTGATGGGTATTTGGTTTGTGCCATGTCTTTTTGTTTGTAAATCATGTATGTGTGTGTAACTGATATATTTTAAAAATCGTGAAGTGAGAAACTACTGTACAATCCCAATTCTGAGGCAGCTCTCAACTCATGATATTTCCAGATGTTTGGGATGCTACAGTGATATGGTCTGTAAAAGTACCACCTGAATGGAACGTCTCACAAGGGTTTGGGATGAGACTTTCCTATTGCCAGTGTCCCACAAGGGATTCTTTTGTTCTATATATGTGCAGTACCATAGTACTCTGCTGGTAAGTAATCCTAACCCTAAGTAACATTCACCACTCGTTTAAACTAAAATCATCCCATTTGGGTAAGAATTTTTGGCACTATCAAAAACAAACCAGAAGCTTGGTGTAGACAGCTTGGGTATAGGGTCTCCTAGCTGTGGACCTGCACATGAGAAAATCCCAGAAAATACAGGTGAAATTAGCCTGGGCCATGAGGAAATGCTGCCAGCCCCTCTTGAGACACTGAAAATAGGTGACAGCACCCTCAGTCATCTGTCTCCAAGACACAGTCTGTGCTTTTAGCTGATCAAGACACCCAAGTTATCTACAGGATGGTTTGAAATTGACCAGGCTCTGATCTCCCTGCCTCTTAGCAGTTTAGGTTCTTCTCAACTTCAAAAACAGCATCAGCAAAGTAGGCTTTGGATCTGAGGTAGGGTGAAGGTACAATATTCATGAGTCTGGTGGAAAATAAATTGCACTGAAGAAAAACTACATGAAAGGAACTGAAACCAATTAATAAAGCTAAATTAAGAGAAAGTAGAGAGGAAAGAACACCCAAACTTCAGCAAAAAAGGGAAAGAACTGGAATGCTGAATGAAAAATTGTGAGAAAAATGAATTAGGAAGCAGCACTAGCAGCAAAAGAACGTGTATCCCTATTTTAAATCCTCTTTTCCCATTAATTTCTACCAGTCCATTCTATTCCCAAGCCTAGTTTTTCATCGTGTTTTCAGTATTGTGACATATCAATCATGTCTGTGTAAAATGGATTCTTCATTTTTTGTGTAGTTCAGCACTTACTGTAGGTCCACTTAAAGCAACTGAGAGTTATAAGCACTCATCACTTTTCAAAATCCAACCAGTTATTTAGGTGCTTAATTTTAGGTACCCAAGTTTGGCTACATTTCTTCCATCTACAACATCCCAATATAGGGTTTCAGCCTGAGGACCAGATTTTCAAAAGTGTTTAGGCACCTAAAGATACAGAGTGGCATGTAATGGAATTCTCAAAAGAGCCTAAGCAGGTTAGGTGCTTAATGGCCATTGGTTTAAATTGAAGTTAGGCACCTAAATTGCTTAGTTACTAGCTACATCTTTAGGCACCTAAATGCCTTTGAAAATCTGGCCCCTTGTGCATTCAACTCCCACTGTCTACCTAATTACGACATAGCGCTCAACACCATAGTATCTGAATGCCTTTACTTTAATGGTACTTAAGGACATTCAGCACCTCACAGGATTGTACCTTTAACCCCTAGTAAACTATTCCAGAGTACTCTAAAGAAAGAGGACCCAAATATTTGGCCTACTTTGCTGCATATTTCTGTTTTTGAAAAACTAAAAGTAAAGCATTCATCATTTTAGAATTGGTTACTTTGTACTTCAATTTTTTCCCCCTCTAAGTTTCCTTTGACTCTTTACTATTAACATTATGTTAACGCTTTTAAAAATGTATCCAACTATTGATGATTGAAGCAGGAAGGACCAAGGACACAGTTGGAAACGTAAGAGGTATTGTCAGTGAGTGCAGATGCAGAATTAGGGAGGGCTGTGGATTGAGGGGTATTAAGAAGGACAAGGAATAAGGGTGCATAAGGAAAGGGTTTGAGTCTACAGGATTCTAAGGCCTGGTCTACACTGTGGGGGGGATCGATCTAAGATACACAACTTCAGCTACGAGAATAGTGTAGCTGAAGTCGACGTATCTTAGATCGACTTAGAATCACTTAGTTCGCATCCTCGCAGCACAGGATCGACAGCCGCCACAACCCCATCGACTCTGCTTCCGCCTCTTACTGTGGTGGAGTGCTGGAGTCGACGGCAGAGCAATTGGGGATTGATTTATCACATCTACACTAGACACGATAAATCGATTCCTGATAGATAGATCACTACCCGCCAATCCAGCAGGTAGTGCAAACGTGGCCTGTCATAAATATAAAGGGAAGGGTAAACCCCTTTGAAATCCCTCCTGGCCAGGGGAAAGCTCCTCTCACCTGTAAAGGGTTAAGAAGCTAAAGGTAACCTCGCTGGCACCTGACCAAAATGACCAATGAGGAGACAAGATACTTTCAAAAGCTGGGAGGAGGGAGAGAAACAAAGGGTCTGTGTCTGTCTGTATGCTGGTCTTTGCCAGGGACAGAACAGGAATGGAGTCTTAGAACTTTTAGTAAGTAATCTAGCTAGGTACGTGTTAGATTATGATTTCTTTAAATGGCTGAGAAAAGAATTGTGCTGAATAGAATAACTATTTCTGTCTGTGCATCTTTTTTGTAACTTAAGGTTTTGCCTAGAGGGGTTCTCTATGTTTTTGAATCTAATTACCCTGTAAGATATCTACCATCCTGATTTTACAGGGGGGATTTCTTTATTTCTATTTACTTCTATTTTTTATTAAAAGTCTTCTTGTAAAAAACTGAATGCTTTTTTCATTGTTCTCAGATCCAAGGGTTTGGGTCTGTGGTCACCTATGCAAATTGGTGAGGCTTTTTATCCAACATTCCCCAGGAAAGGGGGGGGTGCAAGTGTTGGGAGGATTGTTCATTGTTCTAAGATCGAAGGGTCTGGGTCTGTAGTCACCTAGGCAAATTGGTGAGGCTTTTTACCAAACCTTGTCCAGGAAGTGGGGTGCAAGGTTTTGGGAAGTATTTTGGGGGGAAGGACGCGTCCAAACAGCTCTTCCCCAGTAACCAGTATTAGTTTGGTGGTGGTAGCGGCCATTCCAAGGATAACGGGTGTAATATTTTGTACCTTGGGGAAGTTTTGACCTAAGCTGGTAAAGATAAGCTTAGGAGGTTTTTCATGCAGGTCCCCACATCTGTACCCTAGAGTTCAGAGTGGGGGAGGAACCTTGACATGGCCTAAAACAGCAAATGCTCCATAAT